AGGCCAGAGATGCGGAGGGTGAGAGGATTCACCAGAGACAGAGTGGGAAGCAGAAGAACAGGCAGATCAGCGAAGTACACTGCTGAGGGGAGCAGCGGGCGGGTCAGGAGAGGTCTGCCACATCATGTGGATCTCCTCCAGGGCAGGCGGGGATCGAACTCATGCAGAAGTGGCTTAAGCTTCTTAGTGCTGGGCTTTAACCCGCTGCACCACCAAGGAGGGCCTACCCATGTATATTTTTGTTTTGCCAATCTGGAATTTTTTTTAACTATTAAAAACAAAAAAGAGGGTCATATTCAGTATTGCTAATAATGTAGATAAACAAGTAATTCATAAGGCAAGTAGTTAAATTTATTGGTTTAATTATGGGATGGTATTGATTTTGAGAAATTGCTATTAAGATTTAGAACAAATACTTACCTGGCAGGGGAGATACCATGATCACGAAGATTTAGAACAAAACAAATAAAAACCTCAACTTCTACACTTATTTTATTTTTCTGTCACTGATCACATAAAATTTCTTCATTGAAATTAAGTCTTGATAGTTTTGTCACACTACTATAAAAGGTTATGTGACAGAAGAAAATTTGGCGTTAAACTTCCCATAGAACTGTCATTTATCCTAGACCTTGGTCTTTACCAGTAAAGAGCTCAGTCAGCTTTTGTTTTTCTTTTCCTAAAATGTAGTGAATACATAGTAGGGGTGGGAGATTTACTGTTGATCAACAGTTAGTCACTGGTATTCCTAATGTTCTAGGTATCATGCTTAGAGCAACATTAGAAAAAAGAAAGATCAAATCTTATCTCATTAAGTGACAATTAAATGACAATTAAGTTGGGTGGGAGAGGATGTGGAAAATTGCAAGTTGTGATGAGTTCTCCAAAGGAAACATTTAAGGTGCTATGGGAAATTGTACTATAATAAAACAGTAATGTATAAAATAATACAGAACATTAGCCTGGTGGGGACGGGCTTGGGCCAATAAGGACAGACTTTTTAGCTAATAGTTGAGGAGTGAGAAGTGAACTGACCTGAAGAAGAGATGAGAGGGAGGTATTGTAGATATGTGAGATAGGAGCATGGCATGGTTCAGGAACAAGGAGGCCACCATTTCTGGGGCATACTGATGAGGGGAGGCTTGAGGGTGACATGCTATGAGGTTTGAGAGGTGAGTAGAAGTCATATACATGCCAAGATTGATCAGACATATTAAGGCTTTCAGAGTTGATTCTCTTAGGAGAATGCATCAAAAATTGTTAAGTATAATTAGGAATGGTTTCATGGGTGTTGAGTCTCAATACCACAAGTTAAAGCTGTAGTGTTTTTGATGTGCTAAAATGTATGTGAGCTTTCCTTCTCTGAGACATAAAGCCCATTTTGGAAAGTAATTGCTACTTCTTCAATGTCGATTTTTGCTTGAAAGCTAGTATTTTGCTACGACTTTAATTTAGGGTCAGGTTTTAGGTAGAACTTATGTTCCAGGTGTAGTCTTTATTCCATTTATTATGGAGGGGAGCAATTAATCATTTTAGTTAGCAGCAAAAAGTTCACATTAGACTATAATTGCTCTTATGAAAGTAATTCTTTTGTTTTATCTTGGTTATGAAATTAGCTGGTTGAAAGAAAAGGTACTATACAAAATTAGCTAAAAAAGAAACTGGTATAGAACTTACACAGATTTTTTTTTTTTTTTGCCTGTCTAAAGTAGCTTTCTCTTATTAGCTATGTTTTTCATTTACTAATCTAGTGAATGCTTTTTTAATTATCTACTTATATAGAATTGTTTCATTCATTTTTACTACATCTATTCCAAAGCCAGTGACTAAAAATTATGTATCTTGTTATAGAGAATAACAAAAATATTCCTTTTATAAAAACTGAAAGTAGAACATGTTCCTTTTTTTTTTTTAAACCTGTGACTTAAATCTACAGTAGCATGAGGATTAAATAATAAAAGTTGCTTTTACATTATTTGGAAGTAGGATATATCAATGTATCCCTCTTCCTTTGTGTTTCGTTTCATCTCTAATTTAACTTCCAAGATTTCAAATGTCAGATACAGAAAACAAATGATAGAATTTGAAATAGAACCAGAGTGGACTTTGAAGACAGAAATCTTGGTGTTGTTCTTGCAAGAGTCTAACACTAAGTCGCCAGCCAGAACAGACCTCAGCTGATTGATTACTTATGTGAGCTGACCTGAAGGTGAGAAAACAAAAAGATATTGAAGATCTGAGAGTGAAGAGCTTGTTGGTAAACTGTTATGCCACAGGCACATTTGAATTGATAAAAGCTATCCATCCGCTCATTTAAAAGTCCTTATCTGCATATTAATGGAGATAAATCACAGTACAAATTCTTACATACATGCAGATGGTTACAAAAATGTGTATTAACAAGTTGACATAAGGTAAATGCAACTTTGATACATTTCAAGAAGTTTTAAGGCCCTGTTCATTTAGATAAACACACATCTACCTTGCATGAAAAACTTCCTGGAAATACATATGATAATACCAGAAAGATAGGATTCTATTACCCTTATAGGGGCTGTCAGGAAATGAGAAACTCTCTTGCTTGGTGGCTGAACACAAATTCTTTTAGAGTTAATCTTCTACCAGGTCTAAAAGGAAGTTTTTGACCTTAAGAGATGCATATAAACTGTAGGATATAAGAATGGGATATAGGTTTTAAAATATTTTAGTTAATGGGCCCTCCCTGGTGGCGCAGCAGGTTAAAGCACAGCACTAAGAGGATGAAGCCACTTCAGCATGAGTTTGATCCCCGCCTGCCTGGGAGGTGGGAGGTGACCACATGGCGCTTCAGACCTCTCCTGCCCCCACCCCCCACCTCCCTCAGCAGTGTACTTCCTAGATCTGTCTGTTCTGCTCCCTGCTCTGTCTCTGGTAAATTCTCTCACCGTCCCACACCTCTGGCTTGTACCCCAGTTCTGTATACAAAAAAAAAAAAAAAAAACTTAAAAAAATATATTTTAGCTAAATTGATATAAATTGAGTACTATAATTTGAGCAGTAAGAAATAGTTACTTATAAACATGATGCTGATTAACAAGCTACTGATTTTACCAATGAAAGTCCATTTCCTGTTTTCATAATGCTGGTATTCTAGTGTTCACCAAAAGATGGACAGTAGAAGTACTTGGAGCAGCTCTCTTGGAGTCTGGCCTCCAACCTCCAGTGGAATTCTGGGGTAAAGAAAGGAACTGACTTCCCTAAAGTGAGATTTGAGACAGCACAGATGATAACATATTATGATAAATTATTTAAACATACTTTATACATACATGATAACATATTATGATAAAGTATTTAAAAACAAACATTATATTACTATCTTTTCTCAATTCAACAGAAGAATGATTTTACTTTCCAAATATCTGATCTGCTTGATTTTACATGAATGGAATTAATGTTATAAAATTCCCTTAATTTCAATAGTCATGGCAGGTTTTGTTTTGATCATGATGCTATATGGTTAATTCTCAGATGATTTATGCATATTTCATTGAGAAAATAAAACCACCAGGAAGAGCCTTTTATATCTCCATTATCATAGCTTTCATGATAGTAATATAAATTACTATTTATATTAAGTCAATTCCTTCTTTTGAACATTTTCTCTTGCCTTTTTTTTGTTTTTTTAGCTGCTTTACAATTTTTTGTTAAATACTTTCTAAATTCAATTGCACTAACATAAGTATATCATTTGCATTTAATTTTAATAAATACTGTTTTTAATAGGCTTTTGCAATAAAAAGGAGACAGTTTGAAAACATGCAATGCCTAAAATACACTAAAGATAATTCCCATATATTTGATATTTTAAGGATTTCTGTTTGGTTTTATTGAATTAATCATATTCAATTTGTTAAATTTGTTTGCAAATATGAAAATTGAGAAATGAATCAGTATATACAGCCACAGTATAACTGTGGAGTACTGAACAACAATATATAAAGCATCTGATCCATAAGAGAGATGATGGAAGAATTTGAATGATAGAATTGTTTTTTTCCCACTAAATTGACACACTGAATGATATAATTGGTTTTTCCCCACTAAATTCAACACACTTGTGAAATCATCTGAAGATTACCAAAACTCCTTTCCTAAGTTTGATTTATAACCATCCTTGGTCATTAGTGACTTAATCTGTATTGCCCAGGTCTTACTGGACATTTCCAAGTGAATGTAAAGGCTTTGACTTAATCTACAGGTAGAGAAGATGAAATCTATAGGTATAAATGTTGTTACTGAGTTTCTATGGAATCATCTAAAATATTATTTTTCTCATCTTTTCACCATCTTTGCCCTTGTGATTGAATTCCTTTTCCTTTCCTCCTTCTTCCTTTCTCTTTTCAATCCTTTTTCTACCTCCTTCCTTCCTTCCCTTCCTCCATCTCTCTTCTTTCCTTCCTTCTTCCTCCTCTTCCTCTCCACACCCCATTTCCCTCCAAGTACCAATTTCCTGCTTCTTTCTTTTTCTTTCTTTCTTTTTCCTTTCTTCCCTCCCTTTTTCCCTTCCTTTTTCCATCTCTCCCTCCCTCCTTCCTTCCTTCCTTCTATATATCAATTTCTATAATGAGGTTGTATAGCCCCTGCACCTCAAAAAGTCCTCCTTTGACTCCACTAATTTAACCATCTACTGTTCCTTTCACTTTTCCCTCTGATGGCAAAATTTATGAAAAATTTTGCTTTCTGGCTTCCAGATCTTTCATCAACCCATTTCTAGAGGATGTCACTCTATATCTCACCCAATTCTATCTTGGTAGGTTATGGAGAATTCTACTTCATCAATACAATATTCAGATGTCTGTTTTCCCTTTTCTTGACCTCACAGCAAGGTTGTACACAGTTGACCACTGCCATGCTTATAAATACTTTATTCTCTTGTTTTTAGGACACCACCTTCTCTTGGATTTTCTACTCTCCCTGAAAGATGCACAATAAAAGAGGCCCACTTTTTTACAATTTCCCTTTCTGAATGTTTGTCAACCAAAATGTTTTCAGCTCATTTCTGGACCACTTTCTCTTATCTATATACACTCTTATGTGAATTCTTAATAAGTATTCAGACAAGAAATAGTACAGCACTGTTTCAAAGTTATGTTCCAGCCTAAACTTAACTCTGGATTTCTGTAACCTACTCTAGTTGAAATTCTCCATTATGAAATCCAATTTAGATTTGATCTAAATATATAAAGGGCAAAGCAGAACTCTTGATTTTTTTGCTACAAGCTGTTCCTTATTCCAGTAATAGCTTACCACCCCTCTATTGCTCAAGTCAAAACCCAAGCATCCTGATTCCTCTTTCCTCACTCCCAAACTTAATTTTTGAGCATGTCCCATTTGCTAACCTCCAAATCACATCCATCTACTTCTCTACATTCTCATCATCATCAAGCAAACCCTTCATTCTTCTGGGAACCCTTAAACAGTCAAAACAATGAGCGTGATAAAACCAGAGATTAAGGTAGAGACAGGGTAAAGTTTTGCAGACCATAAGAAGTGTGATTTTTCTCCTAAACTTAATAGGGGAAAATGGAGGATTTTAATCAAAGAATGACCCAAACTAGAGGTTGAAAGGCCCTACTTCCATGTGGGATTATGAGGAATACATAGGAGTCAAGAAGGATTATAGGCAAAGACTGGTCTCTGCATTCTCTACAGGGCAATACTCCATTTTGTCAATAACTTGATGAGGTTCTTATGTAGCTTATTATAGTTTTTGATCGAGAGGACTACTTTCAAATGAGATTACAATGAACTTGGTTTCTTATTGCCAACTCTAACTTGAAGTTAAGGATGGTCTAGAAATGGAATTTTTTCTGATACTAGAGTAGGTACTAATGATTTGGACCAGACATGGTAATAGCATTCTCTTGACTTCAAAATACTTGCTAGGGTCAGAGAAGGGACTTTTTTTTTTTTTTGCATCATTCTTCATTTTGTGCATTTTTTCATCTCAGTTATAATCCCCGTGGACTTTCTACCACCAATTCACTGGTGTGCCATCACTGTAGTCCCATGCACTCTTCTCACCCCAGTTTTGATCCTAGTCCCCTTTCCACCCCATAAAAGGCCTCTGGTTTATAGTGTTAGTTGTTTTTGTTTTTACATTATTACATTTTCTTCTCTCCCTCTTTTTTGTTTTTCCTTCTGATTCCTTATGCTTCTGCTTTGAGTGAAACTATTTGGAGTTTTTCTTTTTCTTTCAGCTTATATCACTAAGCATGATCTATTCCAACTCCATCCATGTTGATGCAAAAAGCATGAGCTTATCTTTTTGATCGCCAAATAATATTCCATCAAACAGTTATCCTTTCTCTGATCTGTACCCTAGCAAGCAATTTTGAAGTCAAGAGAATGCCATTACCATGTCTAGTCCAAATAATTAGTACTTAATCTAGTGTCATCCTTTTTAATCCAATCATCTATTTTTGGGCATTTGGGTTAATTCTAATTCTTCCCTATTGTATATAGTGCAGCAGTAAACATGGGGGTGTTTCTCCAACATGCTAATCTCATAGTCATAAAAGATAATTGTATATTTAATTCTTTAGGACTATGAGATTGGGATGCTGGAGAAGCAAGATGGAATATGATTAAAGAATCAGCTTTGATTTTTGATCCACTCTCCCTTCTAAAATAGTCAAGAAAGTATTTACATTTTCTTTGAATGAAAACTTAGATCTCTGTTGCTCCTTGGTCAAAAAAGCTCTAGGAGCTCTTTAATTGCAAACAGTGTACATTCAATTTCTAAGTGTTTAATCTTGAATATAAATAAAATCCTGAAATTGATTTAAAGTTACATCTTTTCCTAAGTTTGCTAGAGCAAGGAGTCTGTGATATAGAAGAGAGTTGGTTTCCTATGCGTTCTAATGATTGTGAATTGTTAAAAATCCACAGGAAAGAGATGCATAGATGCAAATGCATAAAGGTTTTAGAATCATTTGCCAAAATACTGAACTATGAAAGTCGTGTACATGAGGAAAGGGGTAATTGTGAAATATTCCCTATGAATTTTTGAAAAATTAAAGAATAGCAATTTAGTGGATTTTTAAAGAGATTTTTCAGCTAGTAGTTAAACCATGTCTTTTGGTATACTTCTTAAAAATCTGATTTTCCTTATGACTTTATGAATGAAAAGTTAGGATTTACTTTGCTTAATTAGGGCACATTTATGTGATTTAGCATCACATATTTCTGTAAAAAAAAAAAAGTTCCCACCTGATAAGGTATTGAATTTTGATACTTCTGCTAATTCAGTGTAAATTTTAAAATTTTGTAAACTGTATTTTGAAAGGGATTTAATTTGTAACCAGGCTATTATTTTGACAATACTTTATGATGCTATGATCGTTTACCAATGTTGTTGTTGTTTGAATAGTTTGTATAACTTGGAAATTAAATATTTTACAAAAAAGTTAGCAATTAATTTTAGTTAGTAGCTGAGAAACATTTGGATTGGAACTCAAGGAGTTACAATCTTCATTGATTTCATAAATTTTTTTTTCTGATAAAATCCTGAAGGAAAAACAGAATTTATTGTTATAAATTGAATTCAGTGATATGTTAGTCCAATGCTTGAAGCCACTTTTTTCAGTCATAAGCAATTAATTATTCATTTATGAGATTTTTTAATATGAATTATTGTAAATTGGTACAAACACTATTTCATTGCTTACCTATTTAAACACACTGTCTTTTGACTGTAGTTAGGGATTAATTCTTGATATCAAGTTTTCATACTTTACAAATCCTTTCTGTTGGAGCGTAGCATAGTGTGAAAGCAAAAACACATGAAAAATGCTCTAAGAATGTGATATATAAACTTTGACTCAAACTAAATGTGGTTTGTTTCATCAGTTTGGTAACAAATATTTTTGTATATTGAAAGTATATACAATTCAGGTTACTTCTTATGTTAGTTTACTTTTTTATTGCATTTGACTTTTCCTTTATTATATGTTATGTTGGCAGGTTGCTTCAGAAATGATCAACTTTATGAAGAAGGATCAGTAATTAAAGAAAACTGCAACTTCTGGTAATGAACTTACTGCAACAGTGAATTTTAACATTTATGTAATGTTTTTAAAATATAAGGGATATTTGTTTGACATGTACATGTAAATATAGGCAGAATATAAATATGTTTTAAATCACATATTTGTAGCTTTTTTTTTTTTTTTTAAAGATTTTATTTATTTGTACATACAGAACTTGGGTACAGGCCAGAGGCTCAGGGGTGGTGAGAGGCTTCACCAGAGACAGAGTGGGGAGCAGAATAGTCAGATCGATGAAGTACACTGCTGAGGGGAGCAGCGGGCGGGTCAGGAGAGGTCTGCCGCGCCATGTGGTCACCTCCGGGGCAGGCGGGAATCGAACTCATGCGGAAGTGGCTTTAGCTTCTCAGTGTAGTGCTTTAACCCTCTGTGCCACCAGGGAGGGCCCATATTTGTAGCTTTTTAAAAGACCATTACAGTGTAATGAATATTGTAGCATTGTAGTGCGAACATATATTTTAATGCTTGTCTCTGATGTTCAAGACAGTAAACCTTCATTACACAGCAGCAGTGCTTTAAATATACTTCTAAATTATAAACATTCTGTATACTACAAGGAAATGACATTTCTGTGAACATAAAAACCACATATAACAATTGTCTGCCATGAAAGAATTATCCTGTAGAAAGTTTTCAAATGCAAAAGCAATGTATCTATTTTCTAAATGATCTTATGTTTCAAACTTCAATCAATCCATGGTCATTTCATTTTCTGATTGCCTGGAGTAGAAAAGAGCAGCAAATCCAGTGGTCATTAATGTATGCATTATGATTAATTGATTCAAATAATCATATGGCTAACCTTAATCAAAAGTGTATACTGTGCCTTACTGATGTACAGCTCTGGTTTCTGATTTTGTAAATGTACTCCATCAAGGCTGACCACCTTTGTGTTTTCATATCTGCAGCACATGTTCAGGACAGCAGTGGAAGTGTTCCCAGCATGTGTGCCTTGTTCAACCGGAAATAATTGAATGGGTCAATAAAGGAGACTATGGGTGAGAGACGTTTTGCATTTTTAGGCTATATGGAACTCTTTGTTACTTCTCAGGTTTTTTGTTTGTTTGTTTGTTTTTAAAGATTTATTTATTCATACAGAACTGGGGTACAGGTCAGAGATGCGGAGGGTGAGAGGATTCACCAGAGAAACACAGCGGAGAGCAGGACAGGCAGATCCATGAAGTACACTGCTGAGGGGAGCAGCGGGCAGGCCAGGAGAGGTCTGCCACTCCATGTGGTCACCTCTGGGGCAGGCGGGGATCGAACTCATGCGGAAGTGCCTTTAGCTTCTTAGTGCTGTGCTTTAACCCTCTGCGCCACAAGGGAGGGCCATTCCTCAGGTTTGAAACAATGTATTTCCAAAATGGACTTCTAAAATGGTCAGTTTAAAAAAAAATGTGTAAGAGGAAAATGGACAAGGAAAGAGAAAGTCATCTACATTTGTATACATAAGGTGAACTTTAAATAATTAAAATTTTAAATTAAAAATAAAGGAGAAATAAAGAGTGTGGTTTTAATTGGGGAAGAGCAGTTTCATGGTGTGAATGAGGAGTCAAGGGGGCTCCCCTTTGGATAATTATTCAACATAATTAGGATGCCCATAAATTTATTTATTCACTTTTACCATTTTTCCCTCTATAGCTACCCTGTCCCAGTCAATCACATGCTCAGCTGTACTAGACAGAATTTGTCCTTAAGTGGGTGGCATTTTATCTTGATAATCTCCCGAGTAACCAGTCCTTGTAGACAGTTTCACTGACATGACTGCTGTCTAACTAGTGTCATTTATCCTTGACTCAAAGGACAGGGCAAAGCATTTTGCTCGTAAACTAAAGATAGGGATGAGTGACATTTAACCATTGAAAAGAACTCTAATGCTCCTCAATGGACTAATAAATTAGATGACTTCTCCACTTACATAGAGGGAATATAGATATAGGTGCTAACAGATTTTTCTTTACTGAACTGAAACAAAGAAGGATCGGTGGACTATGTCTGCCTAAAGATTTTTCACTGATCAATCTTCATATGACTTTGATAACATTTTCCACATTCTGAAAATGACTTTACAGAAGATTTCTTGCCAGCCAACTTTAAAAGTGAGATAGTCCTGAAAGGCATTTTTTACATTACATAAGATATATGTTTCCTACGGCAATGGGGACAGAGAATTTCAGTATACCCAAAGCATTTTCCTGGAAAACAGAAATATAGAAAGTCACATTTATTGGCATTAATGTTTGCACATCTTTCTCCATTATTCTTTGTGTGTAATTTTAACCAGTATTTTATATGATAATGCCATGAAATTTTAACTATTTCTAGGGAAAGCTAATTACAAATTTCTGTGGTTAAGTGATATTTCGGTGGTTAAATCATTAAAGGAAAATAAGAGTATGTGTCATCATGAGACATTATTGAATCAGGCTCTTGAAAGACTTCAAATGTTTGACCTAACAAGCACACAATTCCAAGAAGCCATAATAAAACAACCATCATTACCATTGTCCCAGAATCCATCAGAAAACATATCTAAAGCAGTGAGGAAAGAAAGCTTATGTGAAAGTACAAGCACTGTTGGGAATCTTGCCTTCGTGAAAGGAAGAGTTTTCTTTTCATTATTTATTTTGAGAGCTCTCCAGGACTTTTTAAGAGGCAGTGGACTTTGCCTTTGAATAGTGGACGTTAGATGATGTTAAAGTAATAAAAAGTGACGTACCATTGGAGCTAAAGGAAACATACACAAATGAGAAAAAAAAAAGACAAAGTAGGAAGAAATGGAGCAAAACTAAAGTTATATATCAAGGGAAAGGAGGAAGTCCTTCAATTTTATACAAAGTTCTAATTTTCAGATCTTTTCTGTTCTTTATGTTTTAATTATGTAAAAATAGAATCATATTATATTTAATATTTGTTAAGTGCTTGTTAAAATAGCTTACAATATATGACCTTTTCCTTGAAGTGTTCATTTCTCCCACGTTGACAGTATTTTAGATCCAAATGCTTAATTGTTTTAGATAACCTATTTCAGTGTTTATTTATTCCCTTCATTAGTTTAATGCAGTCAATTAATATGAACAAAATATGTGTTCTACTGTAGCATTACTGAGAATAACATAAGTAAATATATCTGTATTACAGGAATTTACCATTTACCTGAGGCATTAATATATGATTACTTTGTACAAGATTTCTAATGTTAAGGTGTACTATAAATGCCAAATTAGTAGCACAAATAATAGCCAGTAAGTAATGAAACAAAGGGAGATCAAAACTATTTTAGTTATGTGTGCTATGCAGCAAATACTTCAAAATCTTGTAGGTTAATACCACAGGGTTTCCATTTTTTCACATCAGCAATTTGTGATCAGCTTAGTTGAGACTTTCCTGTCTCTCCTAGGAATACTGTGTATCTACAGACAGCAGGATCCTCATTGGGGGTTGACTTACCTAAGGTGGCCTCACTTCCATGTCTGGAGTTGGGGGCTTGTTGTTGGTGGAGGGAGCCACATGTCCCAGTGACTAGTCTTAGCTTCCTCACGTAACGATGAGTTCTGATGAGGCATGAGCATACAAAGGCTTTACTGGAGGCCTGTGTATGGAAGTTGCACTGCATCCATTCCACTGGTCTTTATTGAATGCAACTCAACTCGAGGAAAGCCATATTCTCGGCTAGGGAAATAAAGCCCCTCTTGATGCAAATAATTTGTGGTCATTTTTAATCTAGAACACATTTCTATGCTGGGTTTTTATGAACCCAGAAATATAGTTTACTAGATATATTGCCCTTGATTTTAAACTCATTACTGAAAATCAGTATAACCCAAACTGAAATGATTTTTTTTTTAGCCTATTCTTGATTACTGGCATTCTCCATCCACTCTGTCGACCAAACCAAAAAATGTGAAGTGAATTTGAGTCTTCTTTATTTTCAGTCACTCTTCTCTTTAAATTCTCACATTCAAAATTTCTTTAATGCATGTCCTCCATTTCTTTATACTAGTGCATTTCTTTATCAAGCTTATTTTGAAACATGAGATTTTTGCCTTTTCCAGTAGGACAAAACACTAATCTGTTGTATTTTTATGGTTATCCTTCTAAAACAAATCTTTGCTTCTTCCATTCATTTATTAAAAATGCTCAGTGACACTCCACTGCATATAAAATGGAGTTATTTTCTTTAGCCTAAGCAGTCAAGTGCTTCTTTACTTCCTCATCTTTCACATTCTTTACACTTCCTCATTCCACTCATGTTTTAAGCATTTAATTTATCTGCTATTCCCTAAAAGTGCTACCTAATTTCAGAACTGCATGCTTTGCTCATAATTGCCTTCATTTAACACAAACACTTTCTTCTTTCATATATGACCATCAGATTCATTCTCTTCCAGTTTGAGCATGAAAATCATCTGCTATACAAAACAAACAAACAAGCAAGCAAACAAAACACACACACACACACACACACACACACGCAAAGAACACAATTCCTTCAGGCAGTGTTAGGTTTTAGTATTTTGTTCTGATCATTCTTTATCTCAGTGCTAATGCATGACATACACTGAGGCCAGTTCTGTCTTCATAGTCTGTAGATTATGAGCTCCTTGAGGGTAGAGAAATTTATTTCAGTGTTGGTGCTTACTTAAATAATACCATGATATAGTCAGGGTTTCCTTATTGAAATTCCTTGAGTGATGGAGGTTCCACTTTAAATTCGTAACTCAAAGTTCCTTAAAGTTTTCTGAATTAACAGATTTTATAAAAGAAAAGCATTACTCACTAGGCATATTGAAAATCACATCATACCTTGAATCATTTGCAAAAGACTATCACATAAGCAATTTTGTTGATAAACACAACAGGATAAAGTTTAGATTTGACTTAAGTACTGGAAATATATTGCCCTCAAGTTGTAGATAATTCAAACAAATAATGATTAAATTACTTTTATCTTTCTCATTTTTCATTTTATCATCTCTTAGAAATTTTGACTTTCCTTAAATTTTAATATGCTTTGAAAACAAAATTTCCCTTTATATATATGAAGAACACAGACTAGATCTCTAGAAAAAATATGTACTTTTTTATCTAATTTATATTTATGTTATTAATGCCATTGACCACTTAACTCATTTAATATATGATAGAATATTTAAAAAAATATTTCAGTGGAATGAATTAGTACTAATATAATCATCTTTTTTTCATGGGAACTTTTAACATAGTCATCTTTTCAGATATAAATTATAAATGAGATATTACTCTATTTAATCTGTAAGGAAGGTCCTATCCATTTAAACTTCTTTCTAAATGCATTTTAATAACATTTAAAGGAATTGCATATATTGACTTATTGTCACTTAATCCCTTTAGACTATGTTAAAATTATACAGTCTGAAATTTAGACTACATTGATAGTCTTACATTTCTCGTATGAGCCATTAAAATAATGAAACTGATTTAGGAAAACTGTCTCATATGGTTTACTATTAGAAAAAGCACTAATGTATGATTTACATAAAGAATAGCTAGCTTAACTTATAGTTCCCAGTTTTTGAAATTTGATGCTTCTTAATTTCTGATAAATACATGAAGATGTATTTGTAAAAGTGATTGCATAACCTGTACATATTTTTCTCTTTCATTTGTAAGGTAGATGGACAGCTCAGAACTATAGCCAATTTTGGGGAATGACTTTAGAAGAAGGTTTCAAGCATCGCCTTGGTACTTTGCCACCCAGCCCCATGCTTCTGAGTATGAATGAAATAAAAGTAAGTTATTCTCATTCTTGGGCTCATGCATGTGTGTATGTTGTACTTATGTGTTTATAGAGAAATTTAAAATAACCAAAATGAGTTTTGAGCTTTCAGTGATAACTTTATATAACTTTGTTATATAAATTTAAAAAAATTCCCAAAATGACTACATCCCTCAAAAATTTCATGTGAACTTTGAAAATTCACTATTATCATTTATATGTACTCTAAATATGTGTTTATTTACATTGCTAATGATTTCATAGAAATATATTTAGGTTATTGATAATTCAATGACTCAATGTTCAATAACTAACTAGCTATTTTTAGTAATTTTATTAGTCATCAAAGAGTCTTAGTCCTTCCTTCACTATTATCACATAGGAAGGAAATAAAGGCCAATAACAGTAGATATGTATACAATAATAAGTAAGGTTTGTCCTCAAAATTTCCACAAAGGGGGCCCTTCCTGGTAGCACAGCATGTAAATGCAGCACTAAAAAGCTAAAGGCATGTCAGCATGAATTTGATCCCCGGTCCCGGAGATGACCCACATGGTGTGGCAGACCTCTCCTGACAGGTCTGCTGCTCCCCGCAGCAGTGTACTTCATCTGTCAGTCTGTTCTGCTCCCCACTCTGTCTCTGATGAATCCTCTCACCACCCCTGCACCTTTGGCCTGTACCCTAGTTCTGTATGCATAAATGAATGAATGAATGAATGAATGAGTGAATGAATGAATAAATAAATGAATAAATAAATCCTTTAAAATCTTTGCTTTATACTATGTTATTAATTTTCCCTCAAAAATTATCTTAAATAAAGAGCATTCAAACTGCCAGTTATCACAAACTTCTTGCACTTAGGATTGTAGACTTACCATATGGTCTGTGGCATCTCTCAGATACATATTGTAGTTGAGACAGTGATAGTCAAGACCTATTTGATTACCTGAGCTAATAGCTCCCCAGCTGCAAAAGTGCAACCTCTTTCCTCTGCAATGAAGACATCAGGTCTTAGATGCATGGAAGCTCTCAGCTTCTTAAGCAAGCAAGCAGGGCTGGTGTTTGCTCTTAGATGAGTTAGAAATTCTCATGTCTCTCATTAGATGTTTAATGTGCTTTGTTAAATTATCATGAGTATTAGAAAAGTTAATAATAACTACATTTATTGAGTAGTTGTGTGTTTAACACTCTTCTTAGCAGTTTTTATACATTAGCTTATCTAATACTCATAATAGCTTGATATAGTAGGTACTTTTATCATCTACATTTGAAAGAAAAGAAGATTGAGATTGAGAGGAGTTAAGTCACATAGGGATTGAGAGAAGTGAAAAGTTATTACACAGTTACTTAAATTGTAAAGCCAAGACATCTTAAAAGGGCTGCCTCCAGCCCAAATAATTCCTAGTGTTACAATAGAATCAGTTAGTTTTGGCCAATTCAGGACTAAAATAGGAAAAAATCATGAAGAATCCTTTTAATCTTTAAGTAGAACTCATTTTCTAAAAACAACAGTTTCTATCTAAACATCTAAACTGTATCTTTTCTATATTCAGCAAGACATAAAATCTCCAGAGGTGTGGTTCAGATTCATGTTGTGTAGTGCCCTAACTGTATAGTCTGTATAATCAACAATTTTTTTTCCGTCAGTTTTCTTTCATTTTTGTCCTCATCTGTTAAAAAAAAAAAAGCTGCATTGTTTAAGAAAACAACAAATCACCTCTTCATAAAGATTGCTCTTTCTGTTGCTACTGAGAGCCCCAATCATGAAATAGTCATTTGGAAGTCTGTAAACATTACCTCTAGATTATTTTCAACATTTGTTTTATAACCTTTAATTTTTCACAACTTGTAATGTTTTATATTCAGGAGAAAATGGAAAATGGAGTACATTTCTTCCCCAACTTATCAGTTGCCATAGCATGAAAAATAATGTCGAATTCTAAATCATGTCTTGGCTGCTGAGGATTTGTTTGCATAAAAGTTACTGTGGTGATATTTAAATGAAAAATTTTAATGATCAGTATTTTGGGGAGAATTTAAATTACCTAGTGCTATAAATGAATATAAAACAGTAAGTGGCCAAGTATTTCCAGGAAAGTCATCAGGAAAATTCAGCTAATACTTAATAGTTCCATGACCTACTTATGAGGTAGGACAAGGAAATGACTTATTTCTAGGTCCCAGTAGGGTGAGAACTACAGGCTTGTAAAAAGGTTCTGAGTGTTGGAGTTTATCCTCGTATCTGCTTAGCTATAGGAAAAACAGAGATAAAACATGTACTTTTAGGATGAACATGAAGTCAACATGAACTGCTTTGAATTAGTAACTATAGGAAGAGGTAAAAAATGGGTAAATTGTTAGCCTGATGATTGCAAAGAAAAAACTCCACTACATCAAATTGCCTCTGAGCAGAGAAAATGGTTCTTCTTTTGTGGCTATGCTTCTGGATAACATCTTTTTTTCATAATTGCTTTTTTAAAACATTATTTTAAACCCAGAAAGCTGTTCATATCTACAGTTAGTATTGATGCCAACAGTGTAGGTGATTTTGCTGAGAAAATTTACTGTATCTTCACCTGTACAACATTTCCTTTTCCTGGACTTTATTTCCTGGGTGAAGTTAGAATTCATGAAATTCTTTATTGTAGGTGGGAAAGACAAGTTTGAATTTCTTGAAAAAACTCATCTCCTTTTTTAATGGTTTCCTGGCTTCTTTACTTAAAGTTCTATTCCTAGAATATTTGTCTGCTAAGTAGGACTTAGAGGAACATCTCTAGGTGTTGTACATCAAGTTCCTTGATCGTGTAAATACAAAAATCTGTTTAATCTATATGGGTTAGTTCAATTGAGACAAAATTTTGTAGAATGTGATTAGTATCACTGAGGAATTTAAAATATATTGATAGAGGAGATATAGAAAGAGGTAATTTGAAGCTTTTGGGGTTGTTCCTGACTGGGTCTAAGCAAAATTTTTTCTAGGTATAAGCAGAGTAGATAGGGGGGTGGGGAAGCAAGAAAGCAAACAAGCTGAGAAACTCTGCTTAGATCATGCAGTTTCTTGTAGATATACAAAAACTCCCTTTTTCTACTTTAGAATTATGTCAACAATGCTCCCTGATCAATCCATGCCTAATTATTCCCTGAAGATGTTATCTTAAAATCGTTCAAAGTAATGTCTTGATTGGACAGCTCTGTTCCAAATTGTTCTACACTAGAAATGTTAAGAGCACTTAGATGAATCAACCGTTTTCTGACAACCCATTGAAACTTTGTATGTTGTATGGAGAGATGCACAATAGGACTGATTGTGAGCAGATCTTCAGAAGAATTATAGCTCCCCAAAGGAACTTTAAATTCTACTCATTGATCTTTGAGTCTCCTTGCCACAAAACAGGTTGTGACATGATTTAAACCTTTTTACCCCCAATACTTCTCAACATTTATCCCATGGACTGCTAGGCTTGCAAGATTGGGAATCAACTGTGGTCAAAATGATGTGTTATACTTTCTTTTGAAGATTTATACTGTTCATTAGTAGTTTGAAGGTACCTTTGTGTTGACCTGCTGTTTGCTTAATTCATGAGATCAGAGAGACTTTTTTTTTATTATTTTTAATGATTGCTAACATTCTCCAGTATTTAGATTACATAGAACACACTTTAAAAAATAACCAGCATAAGTCAAAATATTGAGATAAGGGTGTTGAAAGGGGTAGCAGTGTATTCAGGAAATAGAACTTTCTCAGTGTCTCAGAAAGAAAACAATGGACACTGCTGATTATAATGAAATTCTTTATTATAGGTGACTTTGACTGAAGTTCTTTTCAGCCAGCAGCAACACCACTGTGGAAATCTGTTCAGATACATGTTTTGACCAGTGCATTCACCCACATGGAACAATTTCACAGTAGCTAGATGTGCTTGGATCTCAACCTAACTACCTGTTGCCTTAGTTTCCTACTCTGAAATGCTCAGAGCAGGCATACTTAGCTCACTAGAGTGGAAGAGTTCCATGAAATAGTAAACGAGAAGTGCTTAACACAAAACTTAGACTTCTGGAGACTAGACAAATGTTTTTATGTAATATAGCATATAAAGGATAAGACAAAGAAAAAAGGCTTATCCTATGGTGTATTTTTTGGAAAATTGTAGAATCCTGAATCAGGTATTTCAGTAAAGATTAAATTACCTAAAGCCTCATCATTCGGAACAATTTATTTTATAAAGTAAGGTGTAGTACTGAAATTTTTGGCCTGATGGAGTTTACATATTTCTGGTACAGCTGAAAGTTCTACTATGCTTCCAAATCAAATCAAATTACATCAAATTTGTTTCAATCAATTCATAAACTCTACCTGATTGTTTTTCCAGACATATTATCCAAGTATTTTTGAATATGGGAAATCACTTCAAGAAGCAACAGTTATATACCTAAATATTTTGAATGGAAAATAGTATTTTCAAACAGAAATTGGGAAATTAAGAGGCCATTACTTGAGCTAGTTAAAAAAGTGATTTTATACTTCTTAATGACTTCTCATGGAGAATAAAAAGAAATTTAAAGTTATTACAGGTAGGTGTCACATTTAAGGAGGTGTTATATGGAAACTATTCAACCATTAAGAAGCCTGATACAACACTTAAAGCCTTTAGATAGTCTATATTATATAACATCAGATTAATGTGTATTAATATGTTCTAAAATTTTCTTGTTAATCTCATAATTTACTCACACATGATCTTAGTCACCAAATGTAAAGAATTTTAGTGTTATATTGGCATTAGTGACAAAGAAAAATGTCTTATCCTATGTTTTATGGAAGTTAAATTGTAACAACATTTTGTGTATTTTATCATACAATAACCTTTAAAACTACTAAACACTGAGGTGAGAGGGTACATTTATTTAGTCATTCAGATAACATTATCATTGTCTAGATAACACAGTATTTGATTGACTGGATTCATTAATCATTATTTATAATAGGGTAAGTTTGGTTTTTCCTTTCTGAAATATCCTTTGGAAAAAAAATCAGTTTTTTTTTTTTGGAATTCTTATTTGTTAGGAATGAACCTTTTTGAATATGATTGAGTATAATAACCCATATGTCCTTTATAGACAAAAGCTCCTATAGATAACAAAACACTGACTAGAAAAATGATCAACACAGGTGTATAGATATATTCTTTATATTATATGGAACAAAGATAACCACTATTCCCATAAAATTGATGTTTACTTTCTACATGCTTGGACATAAGGCAAATTACATCAGGCTTTCAAAATAGAGTAAGAATTGATACTCAGCAGTGAGAAGGGACAGACCCATGATGTAGCCTGTATTTTCCTCAGATCATCTTAGAATCTTCTCATCTATGTCGGAAAAAAATCCAGACACAGAACAGGATGCCAGTTATTCTTGCTGTCTCTGAATTGAGGGCATAAAAACATTTACTTTGTTTCCTTGGGCCTTCTCTTTGCCTTTTATTTCTTTTCTCCCTTCTCAGAATGGAACATCAAACTCTTCAGTAAACTTTAGAAAATGTGAAGTGGCCTCACCTCTTAATTCAGCTGAATTTATGGCATACTGAATATCTCATCTCTTAAATAAGTTTTGGAGTTTTCAGTTTCATATTTCTGAACTGCTCAGAGTCTCATGAATAACACCATAATATAATTGAATATATTATATATTCAATATTATATATATAACACCATGGGCTGAATTGATCACTGCAGGACTAATATTGAAAAAGAAAGGTGAAGATGCATTTTGTTTTTCCATTGAGAAAATATTTGGGACTGTTGAAAGAAGAGTCTTGAGGTGACTGATTATATTGATGTATACTGTCTACTTTCTGGCCTCTCCAAACCTGGTTCTATCTAGTTTATATGTTCCATGAAGAAATTAGTTCTCTGATGCTTCACAATAAAAATGATATGAAATGAAATAAAATACACTGGGTCATGAATACTTAAAATTATGAGCATTATTTCTATTTCTTAGAACCTCATAGTGCAGTCATAGTTTACAAAAATTATTTTGAGCACTAAAATTATTTACTTTCAAAACCAGAGTTTCTTAGAACTGTTTGATTAAGCATCACTTGTAATTACCTATTAAATTCTCCATAATTAGATTTCTTAGGAACTCATTTTAGAACATTTCATAGTTCATCAATTTCTAGATGCACATTTTTTCCCCAGGTTTTTATGCTTCTGAAATTGGGATGCTTCTTATACTTGATGATATACTGGCTTTATATGGTGTTTCTCCAGCAATTTTAATGTCAGTCATTAAATATGCTGTCTTAGCTGTGATTAGGCTCACCTAGGAGTAGCAAACATCCAAAATGACAGTGGTTTAAATGACAAAGAAATTGATTTCTCACCAACAAATCTGGAGGTGGGTAATCCTGCACTAGAATTGTAATTGGTGTTGGACATTCAGGCTTCATTTACTTACAGTTTATTTTCTCATTCATAAAACAGAATGAATAATATTTGCCCTGATTATATTACATATAACTGTTGAGAGTATAAAAGGAAATACTGAATATTAAAACACTTTGTAAACTTTAAAACATTTTCAAAAGTATGTGCATGAGAATGTGTCAATGCATAAATAATAATACTAAAATGAACAATCCCTTATTTGGCTCAAATCCTGATTATTTACAGAAGCAAAAGTTGCACTCATTAGAAAAGCTTGGGGAAAAATATAATATGTTTTAGATTTTTTTTTTTGAGTAATATGAACAGAGCAAGGTTTTTAACATTTAATTTGCCTTTCTGAAAAGATGGCAGCTGAAATTGACCAGTCAGAACTTCAACATGGGCCCTTAAGACATGATATTGGGCATTTGGTATTCTATACTTCCTGAAGTCCTCAAGGGTTTTAGCAATAGTCCATCCCAGTTTTGTTTATCAGTTGTTGGTGTAAAATTGGTATTCCTTGGAGCACCATATATGTTAGTGCACAGTTGCCATAATTCCTATTAAAGAGTTGATATCTCTCCAAATGGGAGGGACATAAAAATCAACATTATTTCTGGGTTCACTTTTAAATAATGCCATATGGTCTTTGATAGAGTTGACCAAAACTGATTCAAGATGACAGAAATACTGACTGAAATTATTGCACTGTGTGGTAACTCAGAAGGGCTTTCTGTGTGTCCTTGTAACTTTGTATGATATTGAACTGTCATTTTTAAACATAGAATGCAGTAAAAATATTACATAACTGATACTTTCTTGGGATGTCATTCAGAAAAAAATGCATGTACAAAATAATTTAAAAGTAATTATAATTATAAAAAACCTGATACAGCTTCCTCTTCTTTTTCTTTAGTCTTCTTTGCCTGCAGAGACCGATCTTCCAGAGTTTTTTGTTGCTTCATATAAATGGCCTGGATGGACTCATGACCCACTGGATCAAAAAAATTGTGCTGCATCATGGGCATTTTCTACTGCAAGTAATAAACTCATTTTAGTTACTTCCTTATAAATTCTCCCTTTAACTTTAGAGTTTGTGACAACAATTAAAAGCTATTTAAATTTAAAATATCTAAATATTAACTTTTTGTCAATAAAAATACTATTTTAATTAGAGATAGCAACCTGGAGATTTTATAAAAATCCATTATCAGTCTGAAAATTTGTCTTTATTTTTAGGGTCTACTCTTAAGTAGAAAATGAGTCAAGAGAACTACAAAGAAAACATGCCAAAATTTATCCTATGAGAGTTAAGGCCAGATAATAATATGAAGTTCCTTCTCATTTGTAATATTATCTATAATCCTAACACAGAGCACACACACACACACACACACAATTCTCATGTATCTTTGTAATATTTGCACAGGAATGTTTAACTGTTAAACCAATTTTATGTAAGTAAGATTGTAGAGCTAATTAATATGAGACTAAATGACTTTTTCTCATTTTAGGTGAAAGTAAATATATAGATTCTGACTCTAAAGTGATATATAACTGATCTTTTAATATGAATAGTTTCCCAACTTGTCATTACTTCAGAACTATAAGGAATACTTCTTTTATATTAGATTGATTATAAATAAAGACATTAAATCCAGGTTAAATCTGTTTTGTTCTCTAAATTATTCCCAAGCAGTGTTGAGTACATCAGATAATGAAATAAAATCTATTATGATGCTATTGGCTACTATTTTGATAGTAACCAAACAAGTATCTCAACCATCCTTGAAATTTTGTAGACGATTCTAAAAGTGTACTCCAAGACTGTCTAAACACTGAAAACATTATCAAATAAGTTCGTTGACTCTTAGAGAAACCAACTCTGAATGATGACACTACCTGAGATGGGGCTATCTTTGTTTAAATCTTACAACTTCATAGTATCAGTTTATTCTAGAAATGATGCCTTTGGAAGAATCATAGTGTTGGCTAAGTTCATCTCATCTCTACGTGATGATCTGTTTGTGCCAGTGTCTACTTTGGCTATTTGGTGTATATCTTCAGTGTACTAGGAGATCTCTGAGATGTTTCAGATGACTGGGAGGGGATCTACTCATATAAGTCATTTGTCATTTGCTGTTCATATGGTTCACAACTCCAAGGTGAGAATAATCTTGCTTGAAATTTAAGTTAGACTGGTATTTCTGAAGATGTCTTAGGAAATACATTGGTGGTGAAATAGCATATTTAGCTGATTTGGATTGTTCATTCTGGTGTCCCTACGTCAAAGTTCATAGACGGCTTTTCCACAGGACTAAGTCTGGACTTGTCCTACCTACCTAGTTCATGAAAACACTAGAGTTTGCAACACTTTTGTGGTTTTGTATCAGTATGACAAATCAGGCTGATACTGTTCTTTTGGTACGTTAAGAAAAGAATAAACTAAGTTCTCTTAAAGATCTAAAAAGTATGTTAGGTAATGGTAGTGAACATAAAAATTATTATCTTTTAGTGAAGCTAAGGCTATAAAATGGAGTAAGTGAGAATTTAGAAATATACACACATATAATGAAATAGTTCGGTAGCCACATAAATTCAGGCAAGTTGTTAGAAGCTGAAGAGGTGAAGGCTTTTACCACAGTAGGAATGACACATGACATACAGCAAATTTGGAGACTGAATAAAGCAGACAAGGAAAATAGAGTATGTCTCAGAGGTAAAACCCAATAAATGTTATCCACATGAGAATGGGAAGCAATTTTTTGAATTGAATTGTTCTTAAATCTTTTGACCTTTTCTAAGTAATTCCAGTGAATTTGGATTAAACCTTCACTGAGATTTAGAACTATCTGTGTAAGAGTGACATACTGTATGCCATTAGAATGTAAAATACTTATATTTAGTTGAAATTGAAGATGCATGGGGCTGGAACAAACTTAAAGTTCACTTTATTCAAGTCTTTGGTTTTATAAAAGAGACAAATAGGAGAAGTGACTTACCTAAAGTCAAAGTCTGAGTCACTTTAGAAAAGACCAGACTTCTGACTCCTTAACTACAGTTCTTTACATATTGTAAAAATATTTTTAAAAAGTGACACTACCATCTAAAAAACATTTGATCTTGAACTCTTGCACTGAGAGTCAAAACCACAAATAATTTCTATTTTCTTGCATGAAATAGGGAATTTTCTCAATGATAGCAGAGGTAATATGTCTTTTGCTCCTATGAAACATATTCTAGCACAATAATAGCTGGGGGTTCAGAAGGAGGTAGGAAATTATAGTTCAGTACATATAGAACATCTAAAATATGCAAGCAATAGCATTACAGAATTCTACATATGCTAAAGTTACCAAAAACATGTATATATAGAACACATATGCAAATAAATTATTTAAAAATGAATCATTTCAGAATTTTTCTAAATTACTACCTTGAAGGGTTCCAATGTAAAGATATTTTAATGCACAAAAATTATAACTTGTAAGAAAATTGAATGGATAGAAGAACGACTGTAACTTTGTAACTATTACTTTGTAACTTTATTGTCTTTTTTTTTTTTTTTTTTAAAGATTTTATTGCCCAAATCAGACAGGCTGGTACCATACTGTGGAGGTAGAGTGGGAGGAGCAGGAACTCAAGTCTTATGTCAAAAGATAAAAAGTGTACAGCCTCATGAAGTGTAATTACTAAATGGTTATCGAAATTTCAAAGTACATTCATTTGACACAGAAATTAAACTACTTAGGGCCTCCCTGGTGGGGTAGGAGTTAAGTCTTACTTTTATCATGCTATCACTCATTTCTGAGTCCTGAGTTCAATCCCCTGACGTGGAGCTGACCCACATGGTGCAGCAGACTTCTCCTCTCTTGCCCTCACCATCCTCTCACCCCCCACCTCTAGCCTACACCCCAATCCTTGTATGCATAAATAAATAAAAATAAATCTTTAAAAACAAATTACAGCACTTAGATTTATTCTATACCAAATGATACTGTGCTAAATGCTATTTATTCACAGCAACATCTTTTATTATTAATTATTATTTTTTGTTATTTTACATCATTCTTCATTTTGTACATTTTTTTCATCCCAGTTTCATTGTTTGCTTTATATAAAAGGGATTAAACATCAAGGACAAGATTGTACCAGGTATCGAACAACAACAAAAATCTATGCCCTGTGAAATGACCATAGTTGCTAGGCAATAAAATAATAATACTACCCGAGAATTAGAGGAAAAGTTTGTCTAGCAATGTCTTAGCTACTCAGAATGGCATTGAGAGTTGTATTGTTACTTATCTTAATTATTATAAAAAATAATCTTTTTCTTAAATGATGAAATGGTTATGTTTCAGATTCAGTAACAATTATAAAATAAGGTCTACAAAGTATTCAGGTACCATTTTGTCTCCTCATTTTGAGATGGTGGCTGCCCAGAATTACACAAGTGGAGGAAATGGTTTGAGAAAGATGGTTGCAGAGTAAACAACAACAACAAAAAAAAAAAACCAGGAGCTTTCTTTGAAGATCCTTTTGTATAACTGCTGATTGTATTTATATAGATCTCTTAGGCCTTTCACTTTGGATGAAGGACAACATTTCATACCAAAGCCACCATGTATCCTGCAAAATAAAGTATAAGAATGAGACAATAAGCATTTACATAATAAGACCTATGTCTCCCTAGGCCAGAATCCAACAAGACAAAATGGTAGCACTTTTAATAAGTCTATGTCCTAAACCAAACCCATGTCTCTCAACCTGCCCCATACCTTGTATGTATTTATTTTTGTTCCACATCTCTTATGCTTCTTCACACTTTAGTTGTTTACTTCAACTTTATCATGCCAAGTCTGATGCTTATTGTATGTTCTTAGGTTTCATGCTCTGATTTTCCCCTCAGTTTTATTTACCAAGAACTTCCATAGATACTATTTTTAGATAATATCAATCACTGTCCTAGGAATAAGGTACATATCTCATTTAATCATCATAATAAACCATAAGCTTCAGACTATTGTTGTCCCCATCCTTAAGAGCTCTGACAAACACATCTGAGATAATACCAACCAGAAAAACTCCCCAAATCTGTCATCCAAATTAATCTGTGGGGGACTGTCATACAGGCGTGGAATGCGGACATGAGTCATCTTAACCCCCTTCAACTTCAACCCCCTTCAGAGGTGAAACTGATGTATCCTGGCCCAAGGCATCAGAAAAACAAAAGCAGGCATTCACCATTAATTACAGTGTTAGCATGAATTGTCTGGTGTGGCTCCAGGTCCTAAGTATACCAAGACAATCTTCTCAGCAGGATATTCCAAGGGTCATATATTATCTTCCAGAAGCTGCTCAAGGTCCAAATATTTCTTTTGGAATGTGCAGACTTTGAACACCCTACACTTATTGAATTAACTCTTTACTGAACAGATAACTTCTAGAACTCATGTCTCTCACAGCAGACTAATCAACTGTGCTATGTGAGTGTTCAGTGTCAGAGGTCCTAGAAAGATATGAATGTGTCATCAGAGTCAGTGCTGGAAGCAAGTGGGAAAGAAGGATTAAATGAGTCTCAGAGTTATGTGTGAGAAACAAAGTGTAGAGATTTTTCCAGTGATCAGACATGTACAATTTTATTTTAATGCCTGTTCATATTTCCCTTTGTTTAAAATATACTTTCTAAATTACCATATAAAATGATACAATTACAAATATATATATTTCTCTCTTAATGAAAATCATGCAAAATGTAATGTATCATTTTGCTGGAATTGTTTTAGCACTCAAACTAAGGTTCATATACTGTGAGCATACACATTTATACAAGAAATGACCTTTGACCATTCCCTGATTTTAACTATATTTTTACAAATTAAATTACAATGCTAATAAAGAAAAAACATTTAATATGATATGACCAATTTTTCTCACTGCTACTATATCAGGATAGTGGGATTAAAATTATAGCATATAGTTTTCTGCTATTGGTTGATTACTTTCACTAGTTTATTATTATTATTATTTTATTTTTTTTTAAGATTTATTTATTCATACAGAGCTGGGATAAAGGCCAGAGATGCGCAGGGTGAAAGGATTCACCAGAGACACAGTGGGGAGCAGAACAGGCAGATCAAGGAAGTACACTGCTGAGGGGAGCAGCGGGCAGGTCAGGAGAGGTCTGCCACGCCATGTGGATCTCCTCCAGGGCAGGCGGGGATCGAACTCATGAAGAAGTGGCTTAAGAAGCTTCTTAGTGCAGTGCTTTAACCCACTGTGCCACCAGGGAGGGCCCTCACTGGTTTATTATTTTATAGGGATAGAACTGTGCTGCTTTTTTGCTCATCATTGTACTTAGTAGAGAAAGGCATGGAATAATTAATAATCATTCTAGGGAATTATTTAAACAGAAGGATAGGTCGTTCAATTATAAATGATGATAGATAGGGAGGTAGGTAGATATATATAGTTCTCTTATTCTAGTGTTCTTATTCTGTATACATAGGTGCACTTCTTGGCGTGAGACTAAGAAATATATTTTAAGATTTTTCAGAGACAGTCAATAATTTACAGAACAATTTTTCTGCCTAACTCAAGGTGAAGTGTCTGTCTACTGAAATAAGATTATGATTATGGTTTTCAAGAATACTATGACTAACAGTACACTATGTGGCTTTTAAATATTTTTTGAGAGTTTCTTATTATATAGATTAGTTTAAGAATGTTCTTCTGGATAGTTAAATTAGATACCAATTTTAAATGAAGGCCTTAATTTATTTTAGATTATCTGAAAATATGGATGAATTTCCAATTTGTTATGATCAATTGTTCTCATTTCTTTAGTTTTGTCACATTCATTTAAAAAAAATGTATCTTTATTCATGACTGTATTGTCATGGATACATGTATTGGATATGACTACATACATTACTAAGGCGTTCTAGATGTTGGAGGCACAAATATAAGATATGGCTTTACCTTTAAGGAACTTCACTTGACAAATTTTCTTAATAATTCAGAAGTAAATGGAACTTGAAAAGAATTAGAAGCTAGAAAATCCTTAAAGTTGATAAACCAATTGAACAATACCAATATTGAACCAAAAATTATGCCTGAAAATGTCAATTGGCCTTAATTTTAAACTATAGTATTTTTTAAACTTATTTTAATTAATTTATTTTTTGCATCATTCTTCATTTTGTGCATTTTTTCATCTTAGTTGCAATCTCCACAGACTTCCCACCACCTCTTCACCTGTGTGCCATCATCATAGTCCTGTGGACTCTTCCCACCCCAGTTTTAATCCTAATCTCCTTTCTCCCCCCATAAAATGTCTCTGATTTAGAGTTGTTCATTATTAAATTTTTACTTTATTCAATTGCTTTTATTTTCCCTTGATCCCTTATATGCCACATCTTTTAATCGTCATCTTTTTTTTTTTTTTTTTTTGGCATTTGGGTTCAGAAGACGGCATACGAGATGTCGAGCAGTG